CATCGTATATATATGTTTTAAATTTAGCTTTATAAATATGTATCTAACAACTTAAAATAAATAATTATATATACTTAACAGGTCTTGTACTAAATTTTGACAGCTTTGAAAATTATAAAATATCTAGCCATTTGCAGTCTATTATTTCTAATCCTGATGATACAACTATAGAAGAGTTAGGTGAAGATGATATACTAGAAGAAAGTTCTCAAAATATGATAGAGATTGATGAAGATGAAATAATTGAGATTGATGAAAATGAAGTAACAGAAATTGATGAGGATGAAATAATAGAAATCGATGAAGATAAAGTAACAGAGATTGATGATGAAGTAACAGAGATTGATGAAGAAGCAATAGAGATTGATAAAAATGAAGTAATAAAGATTGATGAAGATATAGAGATTGATGAAAATAAAGTAATAGAAATTGATGAAGTTAATACATCAGATAATAATGAAATAATAGAAATTGTTGCGAACAAAGAAATATTAGAAATAACAGAAATTATCATAGACAAAGATATATTAGAAGTAACAGAAATTATCACAGACAACGATGATATATTAGCTTTAGAAGCAATAAAAATAGATTGACAATTTTAATAATGTAATACTGTAATACGTACGGTGCAGAAAATCTAAAAACCTCAATCACTTTATATAGAACAAAAAACAATCTATTAAGTATATATTATTCTTGGTGTATTATTTTCTATGCCATCACTCTATTGAGATTAATAATTTAAGAAATTTATTCTCAATAAGCTACTAGTTTATGCATCATCTTAACATGAAGATTGAGGTTTTTAAATTTCTTGCACCGTACGTATATACGTATATATCAAATTGTTTATTAATTGAAATAGTAAAAGATCATCTTATTGAATATCAAAAAAATATCAAATGTATATACATATATACGACTTGAATCTTAATTATATATACTATATTCTCAAGTTTGTTATATATGCACAGGTTATCAAATTTTAAACTATCGAAATAATGATTAAAATTTGAAAGAATATAAGTTTTAGTTAGCCGAATTGCAATATTTTTTTGGATATTTTTAAAAATTTATTTATTCACAATTTTTTTTTAATCAGTAGAATAAAACACTCACAAATCAACAGTTGCAAAAGATCTGTAACTGAAAAATCAGAAAGAACAATAAGAATAAATTTAGAAATCATGAAAAAAACAATTAAAATATTCATAAATATATCAAAATTTTACCATTAAAAATAGCCAACAGAAAGATCTTTATTACTTAGGTTTTAGGAAACTATCACATATAGTTATCAATTTATACTAATTGCCAATTGAAATTTGATTGACTAATTTTATTTACATAATCTGATATTTGAAGCACAAATTAACATGTAAAACATTATGATAAAGGGTAGGTTATAATAAATATTAAAGTTAAAAATTATTTACCCTGGTGTTTGAATATTCTATCCTGGTACATTGATTAAAAATAGTTTAGTATATAATCTGAAAAAATAATGTTTACTTTTAATACGTTATATTTTTAGATTGGACGATTCTAAAGCTCACCGAAGTGAAATTCACTGGGTATATTACTTCTCAAGAATAGCTTGGGTAATCGATATTTATACTAAGTAAAAATAGTCAGCATTCTAAAAAACTTTAACATCTATTTTTATTTAAGCATTAAATCTTAACCACAGAGTTCAATTTTAATTTAATTTCAATATCGTGGTGAATTAAAATAAATTCTTTTGGATTTATTATTAAAACATAGTTTTTATTTTATCTAATATTAGTGATGCTTGATGAAATTGATTTTATTAGTAGATGAAATTAAATCTGACGAAATGACAAAACTCTTGATGAAATTATTTTGATCTATAATTATTAGTGACGAAAATAATTTTGAATTAGAATATTATTCTAAGGAGTATGCTGTCTAAGTTTATAGAAAAATTTCTTGGTGTTTATATAAAATTTTTGGCACAATCACAAAATGATGAAACTATTTGTCAATTTAAAAATAATTTCGTCAAGCATCTATATCTAATATCATTATTTTAATTATTAAATAATATTGATTATTTTATATATTGTATTTAGAATGATATTGAAAAAAAGTTTTGGAAAGAACTGCTCGAATTACAATTAAATCAGCTTGTTATTTGAAAGATCGACTGACTTAACTACAAAAAAGTAAATATGTAGCCTTAGTAAGTTCTGCAAGATTTTATATATAATTATATTGACATATAAATATATATTATAGCTACTACGAAGAATGAGCTTTTGACAATAATTAAACATGAAGCAGAAAGTATTTTTAATTATAACATTATAGCATTAAGATTAAAATGAATATTTTCTACATATTGTTAAATCATTTAACCAAATTTAATCGTATTTCTTTTATAATATTGTAAAATGATAATATTGAGAATATTATATGTAGAGGTGAAGAGAAGATGGCTAAACTTAGTATAAAGCATCAGAGTTTTAGATTAGATGATTTACAAAACTTCATATCTGAGTCTGCTTATCAATAGCAAGAAAAGATTGAAGTAGTAAGGTTTGTTATTTTCTTTAATAACAATAATAGTAATACCTAAGTTTGATAATTCTTTAGCACAAGGGTTAAACATTATACTTTAGTTGGATTGAACTGCCTAGACGAAAATATCAAACAAACTATGCCATTGACTCATTATAGAGAAACAGTGAGACTTATAGTCTGATGCAAACTACAGAATTTCTATTACTTAAGTGTAGTTGTTTTAAATTTCTAGGCTAATTATTATAATTATTTCTTGTGACATAAGTCTACTATTTCCCTTTTGCCTTATAGTCAAAATAATCAAAGTGTATTTTATGCAAATTTAAGCAATTACTAAAGTATTCATATATTTTACACAATATTTTATACCAAAATTCAAAACCCAGATAGCAAATGAGAAAAACACTAATTGATTAAAATTACAAAATTAAAGCTTTTTTTCTATTCCATAATATATATAAATCTGCCAAAAAAGCAATACTAAAGCAGAATACTAGTATGCTTGTGCAGTGCTCTACCAAAAATCATGATAATTTTCGTATATATATAAATATTTAATTTGTTTTTATTGTGGTTTTTGAAATGGTTAACATGGCACTTTTTTTTTGGTGAATACTTGAATACTTGAATACCTTAGTACGTTGATTGAAGTTAATGCACAATTTATGTAATTGTTTACTAAACATAGTCATGCGAATTAAGATTTGTACTCTATAGGCAGAATCTTCAATCAATATGCTAAAGTAATCAAGTGTAAGAAATTCAAAAAAGAAAATTAAACAATAATTAATCATCAAGCGATATTGTTGCAATTTTCTTTTTTAAATTTTGGAGCTATCTTAAATCGAATGTTCGAGTGTTTACCAGAAAAAAAAAAGTTTATTTGCTGTTTTCAACCATTTTGTGATTTAAAAAATTAAAAAATACTAATATCTGAAAAATAACATCTTTGGATCATTAGTGATTTGATTCAATTTCTGAAATACGATCCTCTGGTTCAATTAATAAAGTGATTGTATTCTTTGTTGTTAAAACTAAGTCTTCGTGTTATCATCGTATATATGAGTTTGCATGAACTTTAGAAACTGCATCCCTATAATGTAAATTGTGATTAGAATATTATTGACCTGCCTAGACAAAATAAAATAAAAAAATTAAAATGTGTAAGATAGTGCAAAATAGGTATATATACTATCAATAAGATTTAATCATATAGAAAAACCCAATTATATATTCTACCCAATAAAGACAAATATCTTGAAATCACAACCTTCAATTCATCCTTATTAAGATCACATTTTGTATGTGAAATACAAGAATTTATAATAGGTCCAGCAACTAATTTGTCAAGGAATTATCATCTGAAATAAAATAGAATTTTTAAAATACAATTTTTACTGAAATAAAATTTTTTAAGCAGTTTTAATCATGTAATTGATTGTAAGAATGGAGGAACAAAACTTGGTTTGTACGTATATTGTTTTTTTAAAGAGACCATATTTACGAAGGCTATATACATGGTTTTGGTATCTGAAACTAATAAATAAGTAACTATATGCATTGAAATGATATTTAGTACTTGCATATATTTTTTGATATATATTAAAATTAATAAATATAAGAATTCCAATATATTAGATGGACAAAAGAAGAAATTAAACACATTGGCACAGAAAAGTATCAGTAAATTGCTAAAATTAAATTGCAACTTTGGAATTGGTATATAAAATGATGGTCCTTGTGGTACCCATCCTGTGTTAAAAAAAACTGATAAATAAAATTTGAATTAATAGTCCTTAACAGTATAAGTTAGATTTAAAAAACAAAATCATATTGATCTGAATCTGCTTACCATTATTTGACATGAAGCCTTAATCAGACAAAAAGGAATTTCTGATTTAAGATCTATTTTATTTATATATATTTATACGTACACTTGCAGGTAATGTTTTAGAAGTCCTAGTTTGAATTTAAGTGAATTAGCTCAAGATCATTTACTATTACTTACGTGAAGCCTTAACCAGACAAAAATAAACTTCTAATTTAAGATATCTTAAGTATATTATATATACCAGTACGCTTGCAGTAAAGTTTTTAGAAGTTCTAGAAGTTCTAGTTTGAACTTGTTTAAACTTAAGTCTTGAATTTTGAATCTAGAAAATTGGATTTGAGAGACGTTATGTACAAATGCCCATTAAATTATTCGAAAAATCCCATTAAAATATCTGAAATCGCATGCTTTATTTAGGATTATTTAATGGGAGCTTCGAATAATTCAATGGGAGCTTTGTAGAATTAGGTGTTTCTGGAAAATTTGCCAGAGAGTCCTTTAAGCCAACCGGACTAACGATGATAAGTGTTTTTTTCAACCGGACTAATGATAATAAATAAAATTATAAAAAACATCAGAATTTGAAAATTATTAATTTAAGTTGATAATTTCTTCTCTTAAAATTGTAAGTCTCTAAATAATGCCCCAGAGTGTTAATTCGCATAAATACGGTAAGCAAGTACTCAATACCATTAACATATTGAAACTTATATGTATAATCAATTGATCATCCTTCTAAGCAAGTATCTCACAAGTTGGGTATAGGGATGTTGGTATTACCAAACATAAAGATGATAGGATGTTGATATTAACTCTGAGTCACCCCAACCAGAGAACTTATACGTATAATCTTCTACTGTCTAGACTTTCTGTGATACTACTATTACATATAGTGCCTGCACTTCACAACCTGGCCTCTTTTTGAGAACTTTTTATTCTGGTCTCATACTGCACTTGAACTTTTTACAGGTTTTCACATCTGATTTATATAGCTCTCATAGGTTACAGAGACAAATTTTATTAAAATTTGCTTCTAGCTCAACTCAAACTGTTGATCTTGTCTGTGGGGGTTTGTGAGCATAACTGCTAAGCTATGGGACCAAAATCTCTGATATACTTTATTTTGACTTGTGTTTATTTTTATAAATTTATAGAATTAAAATAAAAAGTAATTATTAAGAAATATTAATCAAAACTTAAAAAAAATTAGTAATAGCT